GTTCATTTTTAGGATAGCTAAAAACTTCACCGATATCTACTATCTAAAATCTCTCTATTGTTCGCTTGTTCGATCGACGCTTGAGTATTGTTCAGCGGATTGTAACCCAAACTACTACAACGGTGCCGAGAGAATTGAATCTGCTCAACGTCGCTTTCTTCGTTTTGCGTTGCGTGGATTGCCTTGGAATGATCCGTTTCGATTACCCAGTTACGAAAGCCGTTGTCAACTTTTTTTTTTTTTTTTTTTTCCTTTGGTTTGTTTTTTCCGTCGATCTTGTTTTCCGTGCTGAGCACCAATGCTACCGACGTGCCAGGAAGGCAGCTCCCACACCTGGACCCTACCTATCGACCCATCAACTCATGAACCGGGGACCAACGGCTTTACTTCCCTTCCGAAGGAAGGCGTGATCAGAGATGTTATGCCTCAGAACATCCCGGCGGCGCCGACTGGGATTGAACCCAGGCCTTCTGGGGTGAGAGGTAATCACGCTTACCACTACACCACCGGCGCCGTTTCGTTGTCAACTTATCGACCTAGAATTTCTCCTGACTAGAAGATCTGTGGCCGATATCCTGCAAGGAAGGACAGATTGCGAGGCTATCCTGGGTCAAATTGACCTGAATGTTCAACCCCGACCGCTTTGTAATAACCTTATGCTAAGACTGCCTCTACGTCGCACAAATTATGGTGCGATTTGCGGACTGCAGAGAATATTCAACAGAGTTGCATCTGTTTATAGCGACTGTAGAGTAACTGACTATAAGATGTTTTTTTTTATATTACGAGATGTTTATTTTTATATTCAAGCATGGAATGTTTTTTTACTATAGTTGATAAGGTTGGAGCTGTTGATGTAAAACAACAATAAAACAATAAACAATAAGCACCGCCACGACCTTGGAAATCATCTAAACATTGACATCAATTGTACCTAGGGAAGCATGCATTAAGTACGTCACGTGAAATTTAGGAAAAATCACCCTCCCCCCCCTTTCGTCGCGGTTTTCCTGGCATTTCTTGTCACACATTTTAAAAGTCCCCTGCCCCTTAGGACCATTTAGTGAAACGTTCCTGGCTGCAAGTGTAACATAATCGAAACTTGGGGTGAAAGTTCATGCAGGCACTTCGCTTTTTCACTGGCACTGATTTTGCTATCCAGAAGTGGTACAGATCTGAAAATTAAATGAAATGCTTGCTTCTCTGTCGCGTACATGTAAGATCCATTTTCAACTTTGTCCATTGAGTAGATCACCAGATGTGTGCCCGTGAAAATGCGCAGTGGTAAAACAAATTGTATGGAAAATCCCGTCTATAGTGCCCTTAGTATTTCATTAGTAAATAGACTGGCAAATTTCTTGAATTCCATAGACGGTGGGAGACCAAACTACATGTGTTCTTGTTCACATACTCTCAGAAGGATTTCAGGGGGTAGTTTAAGTTTGCGCTGAATGCCTCGTTGAAATCACGAAAAGCATACTGATGTGATGTGATTAAGCGCAACATAGTGAAGATTCGGAGAAAGCGTGCGATACTTTGTAAATCTAGTGGCTGGTGAGAAACTGTGTGGTGAGTTCTTTTCGGAACGTGTCTTTCAATGACATATACCAACACATTGTTATTGTTATTGCTCAGCTCACACCCTGGCCGACTATCGCCCGCCCATCTGTACTTAAACTATGTGTGAATCTACGGAAATTTTGGTCGTGGCCTATGCTAGACCGTATAGCATAACGACTTTCTTCCACCAGCAGGCCTGTTCCTCCCGTAGGCAGTCCCACTAGCTTCAGATTTGTAGGGGATAGTACGAGAATAAAAGAACAGAGAAGAGCGATAGAGTATTTGTTGTTTTTCTGAAAAGAGAAGAACAAAAACAGCACGCCGACTTGTTGTGCTGCATGAGCTATGTCCGCTTTCAGTCCCGCTCCTGCGGGTTACGTCCCTTTTCACGTGATCACTCACTCAAGTATCCTGGTAACCTCCAAAAGGTGCAGAGGGCCAACATGAGAAACCTCCATTCTGAGCGGTTGCTTGACCTGGGCCTAGGTCAAATTCCTATTGGCTTGCTTGATTTCCTTGTTGGGGTTTTGCTGCCATTAAGCCCCTGTGCGTTTGCTGTGACGAATTGTTGAATTTGATCCACATGCTTCACACGCTTGCCTGCAGTGATATTGTCGGTTGTATATTATTTTTTATTTTTATATTGTTTTTCGGCTGCCAGTACGTTGCCAGCAACAATTTCCATTGAAGATCATTTGATACGTTTGCTGCATTCCCGTGTTGCTCGTTTCCTGCGCATACGACTTTTCCTAGATACAAGCTTCGCCCAGTATACATTGGCTGTCTCCAACCGGCATGATCCTTTCTGTCTGCTTCCTCTTGCCGGTGCAAGTTTAATTCTTCTTTTCTTATTCAAACTTTCTCGCTACTTTCCTCCTATTGAACTTCTGGGCGTGTTCCCATTTGTTCTCAGGCAGTTAATATTAGTACATGATAGGAAGAAAGAAATAGAACAAGTTAAGTGTGAGCCGCATGCATTGGTTGCTTATTTGAGTCATGGTGTTACTTATTTGGGTCATGGTGTTGTCTGTAGTGTTGTGTTCCCTATTTATTTGCCTCTATTTCGCTTTCAGATCGCAACGTTTAACTCACCTCCTTCCCTCACATTATTATGGTCGGAAAAGAGAACCCATATTTAGTAATCTCTCGCGAACTGCGATGCAGAAGATATTAATAGTAAACTAATCTGGAACTGGTCTAAGACATATAACCCAGTGAGTATTGACACATCACAATGTTGTGATGGAGCACGGACGTGAGATTTACTAGAGTATTAAATGTAAATGCAAAATAAAACTTGACAAAACATTGTCAATCCCCTTATTCTTGTGCAGGGCCTGACGATGTGAAAGGCCCCCACATTTTCTCACTATGAACCTATCATTTCTAGCCTATCTGAACTATTTAATATATCAAGACCAACAATTGAAATAACCCCAACTCCATTCTGCAAACAAACCCTGTAAGGCCATACTCTCGCGAACCGAAGTCCGCAAAGGCAAACCAACATAATGAACAAGTAGGGGAAATTCTCCTATACCCGATTGTGGTTTAGGTTTGCGAATGAAGGCCTCGGTTCGCGAGAAAACGGCCCCACAAGGCCCGTTCACAAAATGGAGCTAAGACCACTTCGACTGTTGGTCTTGGTTACGCTCCCCCTAAGCGGGTCCTCATCATCCTATCTCTGTCTTATCTCAAATGCAAATGGTTTGAATGCATCAATATATACATTGGAAATGACGTTCAATCAAATAAACCAATACCCCACTCACTTGGCCAGGCTTCAGAATCGTCCAGTGGGCAGTGCGCTCTACACTCCTGTTCCCTTTCTTTCAAATTCACCCCAAATTTTATATTTTACCCCTTTGAGTGTTGATTAATCATAATGAAACATTGTGACAGAGCACGGACTTGAGGTCACTAGAGTATTGAATAATCTAGGTCCTATTTAGGATAATATCTGAAAAATCCAAATTTGACCAATGCCCACCTTCAATGACATATACCAACACATTTGAAAAAAATTGAAATCAAACCAGAACCCACAAAAATCCGTATTTTCAATTCAAAACTGAAATATGTACTGTTTTACACTAGCGAGACATGGTGCGAATCTGTGGAGAATACTCAGAAACTGCAGGTATTCATCAGCCGGTGCTGCTTGCCTACAGCTGGATCTCTAGATTCAATAATATTTACCCTAATGAGAATACTAGAGCAAATGTAACATTAGCCTGGATGTGGGACTAACACGAATCGCTTGAAAACAGTCTGATAGTGAACTCATCATTTTAATACAGTAGAAAACTCATGAAACTTGTGAAATCTAATGAAATGTCATAAGCAGAACCTAAAATAACGAGTATAAAGCGAAAGAACTGCTCATGTGTTAAAGAAGGAAAAGTCTCATAACAGCATTTTGATTAGTTTTCTAAATTCCGGGTATTTATATTTATTTAACTTGTGACTATCGCTCACTGGTGAGAAAGTGTTGTATGGTCCATTAATCAGTGGTTTTCAACCTTTTCCGTTCAATTTCCACCCTACCAAAAAAGTTCGCTTCCGCTCACTGAGCCTAGTGTGGTTGCCCACATTGGAACGCTTAAAAAACGCTGATGTAGATCAATAATTGTTGATTGCTCTGTGTTGTTTTCAACTTCGTTGCTTTTTGCAGTGATCAGTAGACTTGAAAACAAACATTCAGAATGCAAGAAGTCTATCGTTCCCTAAGCAATTCTAGACGAATATTTCAAAAGTTGATCGATACTCTTCATCGACTTTCTCTTTCCCTTATAATTCAGCTGCCAAAACATTCCCTGTTGTGTTTGACACCCTGGACGCTATATGAGAACCTCATTCATCAAACTATGTCGCAAAAAAAGCGCAGAATCTGTTTGTATAACCGTGGTTATCAGGATAAGACCTTTTGAAGAACTCATCTAGAATTAAAAACATTTTTTGGTACTATCGATTTTCCTCCTCAAACGCTCCTCATTCAACGGCAAACGAACATCAATTTCAAATATGATGTTCACGTTACTAAATAAACAATACATAGCAAATAGTCTCAACAGGAATGACTAAGCTTCCAACCCTTCTGGAGTAGAAGACACTCCCTGTTGGGGTAATATAGCCCGAAATGAAATCAGCCTTCTCGAGGGAGATTATGGAAACAGACAGAGCGGTAGAAACAAACAAAACTTGCTGGCGCTCCGTACTATGCAACACCCAGCTGTTGGACACGCACAGCATAAGTAAATAAAGCATGTAACAGAAGAAAAATGGAAAAAAGTGCAGCGTACAGTGCCATAACTGACATGGTTTCTTCTACTCCGGCTCTCATCCTCAGCTGATAACGAATTATTTTTTTCGTGTTTCTTCCTCGACCAACTCGAAATGTTAATGCTGAATTATTACGAAGCAAAAAAAAATGGACTTACCGATTGTGGAGATGAAAGTGGAAGTGAATGCATCATCAGAAAAGCGGAACAGGATGCATGTTTTGCCCACTCCGGAATCCCCGATCAGCAGCAATTTGAAAAGTAAATCGTACGTCTTTTTGGCCATTGTGCAGGTAGCTTTCCTAAAATGAAAACTAAAGCTCTATCCCTTCCGGAATAGGTTGTTTTTCTCGGAGACTGATTTATCCGAATCACAGGATCCGTCCTTTGTGTCACGCACTTTCTGTCCCGCTTGCACTTCCTGGTCGGTCGTTTTCTATCCTTCTCACTCCTACACGTTCTTCGTCACTGTTCTATTACGCTACACACGGGCAGCAGTCAGCAGCAAAAGGGAGGATCAGTTTCTGCTTCTTCTCAAGCGCTGGAAATTTTTCGTCAATCTACGGTTCTGTCTGCCAGGATTTGATGCGCTTACGCTCTGTGCCGGTTCTGTGATCCAAGATGAATACTTTTCCCGGGAATTTCACAACTGTTTTGCTGCTTCGAGGTTTGGCAATTTTATCAGCGCACCGAAAACTACACAAGTGCGATGATTAAAAATTATTCGAATCTCGCTTTTCGTTCGAGTCACTTCACTCTCTTCTTGAGTCTTTTCATTCGTCGGGGAGTTTGGTTGCACGCACACATCGCTGTCGATGCAAAATGTCAAAAAGTGACAGCTTGAATCATCGGTGAAAGAAAATACCAAAGCGGAATGCACGAAAAAATGAACACGCACGCCGCAGCGACCAAACGCGGGTTGAGCTTTGTGAGTTCCACCGTGGTGCGGGGGTAGTTTGTGGTTCTGCTAGTGAACGTTTGGTGGCAGGCATAGAGCCTTGCGAAATGCGGTTGTTGGACGACGACGCATAGTGGTGGGCAGTGTTGGAAATATCGTCAAAAGTTCATAGGCGAATTCAAAGGCCTTTTTAATAGAAACTAAACGATCGATTCAACCTCTGGTGGTGAATAGAAAAACGTCAAAAAGAGTGTTGTGAGCATACATTTTTCACCCCTATTCTGTATTTCGTTTCGAACGAAATTCTCATACACAAAATATTTTTTTGTATGAGAATTTCGTTCGAAACTATTGTGATCGTAGCAACCCAGTAATTCGCGTCGCTATATGCACTTGTTATTAGTTACTAAGTTTCTGAATAAAATTTTCATTCCACTGTTCAACGTCAACCGATAAAGACGTGTTTCAATTACTCTCTACAATTGGTTATGGGCCCAGAATACCTAACCGGAAGACTCTAAAATTTCAAGACCAGAAAAAGTATGTCCACAGGCGGAAGTTTAGGATCCGGACAGCAAGGTCAAGGAGATGGAGGCGCCAACGGAAACGGCAGGACTGAAGCTGGAAGCGTTCGAGTCACCAGAAGTTCCGTTGCACTGCCAGCCATTGACAAGCTAAGAGGCCGGGAGAACTACACGACGTGGGCATTTGCGATGCGGATGATCCTAATCCGTGAAGGAAGCTGGACTGCCATCGACGGAGACGGAGAAGGTGTTCCTGAGGATTTGAAGTTGCAGGCTCTGGCTACGATTTGCTTAAGCCTCGAGAGCTACAATTACAGTCTGGTGCAGGATGCGGTTACAGCAAAGGAAGCTGCAATCTGCATTCCAGGACAGTGGACTAACCAGGAAGATTGGACTGCTCAGAAAATTTACGTCGGTACGGCTGATCAACTGTGCTAGCGTTGAGGCGTACGTGGACGAATTAATGAGCACAAGCCACAAGCTTGCATCCGTGGGCTTTAAGGTGGACGATTCCTGGCTCGCGGCGATGTTGCTGATGGGTCTTCCTGATCAGTACGAGCCCATGATAATGGGACTCGAAGCCTCTGGAGCGGCTTTAACAGCGGATGCAGTGAAATCCAAAATTCTACAGGACGTTAAGCTGGATCGTGGTCCGGTCAGCAGCGGCGCGGAAGGTACCCTGTACAGTAAAGCGAACCGGAAGAAGCCAAGCGAATCCAAGGACGGTAGCAAAGGCGAAAAGTTATGTTACACCTGCAAGAAGCCGGGTCATTTTGCTGCCAAGTGTCCGGAGAAGCAGCAGCAAGCGAAGGCGAGCAAACACAAGGGTCTCTGTTCCATTTTTCCAATGGGAGACGTCAGCACCAGTGAATGGTATTTCGATTCGGGTGCCACTTGCCACATGGCACGGCCGGATCACAAATTTCTCGATGAAGTCAAGATGGACCACAACGTCGGAACGGCGAACAATGCCACTATGAAGGTCGTAGCGAAGGGTTCAGTCGTGTTGGACAGCAACGATGGTCGAATCGATGTCAGCGGTGTTCTGAAGATTCCCGACCTAGCCACCAACTTGTTATCCGTAAGTACGATCTGCAAAAAGGGCAAAACTGTTATTTTCACCAAAGACAGATGCGAAGTTCGGGACGAAGACGGTGATCTGGTTGTCACCGGCGTCGAGGAAGGTGGCCTCTACAGAGTCAATTGGCCAGAGAAGTCGTTTTTGGCAAGCGGCATGGAGCTCTGGCATCGACGTCTGGGGCATCTTCACGAAGGTGGTTTGAAGAAGCTCAAGCGAATCGCCAACGGAATAGATTTCCAAGATGGGTCGTTAGAAGGATGTGTTGCCTGTCTGGAGGGCAAGCATACGAGGCGTTCATTTCATGACGTTCCTGGACGATGCAAGCAAGCGGGTGGTGGTTTACTTCTTGAAGCAGAAAAATCAAGCACTCGAAGCGTTCAAGTCGTTCAAGGCCAAAGCGGAAAGACAGACGGGCAAGAAGCTAAAAATCTTGCGTTCAGACAACGGAAAGGAGTACGTGAATGCAGATTTCCGGAAGGTGTTGGAGTCCGATGGGATTCGACATCAAACCACGTGCCCGTATACGCCTGAGCAGAACGGGGCGGCACGCTGGTTGAAAAGGCGCGGTGCATGCTCAACGATGCGAAGCTGGGAAAAGAGTCGTCGCTATCTGTATGGCAGAACAACGAGTGCAGCCGATGGAGTTCATGGAGCTTTGTTCGGATGAAATCCATGATCGTCCTGAGTCCGGTGCAGCTGATACTCCTGAAGATGGTCAACACGCTGTGTTTCCTCTAGGCGAACAACCGAATGGCATCGTCGTACCTGGTGCAGCCGGGCCTGCTGTTGTTATCGATCAACCGGGTGGCAATCCTGGTGAAACCGAAACAACGGAGGAAGACATCGTCGTTGTCGACAGTTCGTCCAGTGAGGCAGACGAATTCGAGGATGCCTGTGCCGATTTTGCGCTCCCACCGCAACTGATTAGACCAGCTGAGTTGCAGCAAGGGTTAAGGCGCAGCGGTCGGGAGCGCCGTAATCCAGGCAAGTATAATGACTTTATTAGTTACGGTTCCTTTTCTGGTGGTGTTCATTACCCTCAGTTATCCTTCAACACGACGAGCGACGATGATACGATGGATGATCCGACGAGCTACGATGAGGTTCTGCGGCGGCCGGACCGAGATCATTGGATTGCGGCTATGCGTGAGGAAATTGCATCCCTCAGCGAGAATAGCACGTGGGTGCTCACCGATTTGCCTGAAGGGCGGAAAGCGATTCGGAACAAGTGGGTGTACCGAACGAAGCGAGGTCTCGACGGAACCATCCAGAGGTACAAGGCCCGCCTCGTGGTGAAGGGCTGCTCTCAACGACCTGGTCTGGACTACGACGAGGTGTACTCCCCGGTCGTGCGGTACGCGACCGTCCGGTATCTGATGGCACTGGCGGTGCGGTACAACTTGGATATTGACCAAATGGACGCGGTCACTGCATTCCTGCAGAGCGAGCTGAAAGACGAGGAGATCTACATGCTCCAGCCAGAAGGGTTCGATGCGTCGAATGGAAAGGTGTGCAGACTGAAGAAGGCCCTCTACGGTCTCAAGCAGTCCAGCCGCGTATGGAACGCGCAGTTGGATGTGGTGCTGCAGGAGTTCAGACTGAAACGGTCGAGCGTGGATCCCTGTTTGTACTGGTGCATCCGTGGAGGAAAGATGATGTTTGTGACTATCTACGTCGACGATCTCTTGATTTTCACAAACGATCGGAAGCAAAAGAAGAAGCTGGAGGCCCATCTGCACAAGCGGTTCCAAATGAAAGACCTCGGGGAGGCGCAACAATGTCTTGGCATCAGAATCACGAGGAAGCGTGAAGAAGGCAAGTTGTGGTTGGATCAACAAGCCTACATCGAAGACATCGTCAATCGCTTCGGTATGGCCGATGCCCACCCAGTTGCAACACCAGCAGATCCAAGCATCAAGTTGGACAAGTCGATGGCACCGAAGACGAAATCTGAAATGGAAGAAATGAAGTCAGTGCCATACAAGGAAGCAGTCGGGTGTTTGTCGTTTGCAGCTCAAGTCACCCGACCGGATATTGCTTTTGCCGTCAACGTTGTGAGCCAGTACAGTGCCAACCCTGGCCGTCCTCACTGGGAAGCGGTGAAGAGGATAATCCGGTACCTGAAAGGTACAATAACCAAGAAGCTAGAGTACTCGACAAGCGGTCCAGCGGACATAGTTGGGTACAGCGATGCCGATTGGGGAGGGGATGCGGACGACCGGAAATCCACAACCGGTTATGTGTTCATGATGCAGGGAGGTGCGATCTCGTGGAACTTCAAGAAGCAGCCTACCGTAGCCCTTTCGTCCTGTGAAGCGGAATACATGGCCATGTCTCGCACGATCCAGGAAGCTATGTGGTGGAGTAATCTGCAGTCGCAGTTTTGCGAGGCCAAACCGATTTCCGTGTGCTGCGATAATCAATCGGCAATCAGCATCGCCAACAACAGTTCGTATAACCCCCGGACCAAGCACGTCAGTATACGGTACCATTTCGTGCATGATAGCCTGCAGCATGGTGTCGTCCAACTGAGCTACACGTCGACAACGGAACAGCCAGCCGATGGGTTCACGAAGCCGATGACCGTTCAGAAGCAGCAGAAGTTTCGGAAGCTAACTGGCGTCGCGGATTAGGGAGGAGTATTGTGATCGTAGCAACCCAGTAATTCGCGTCGCTATATGCACTTGTTATTAGTTGCTAAGTTTCTGAATAAAATTTTCATTCCACTGTTCAACGTCAACCGATAAAGACGTGTTTCAATTACTCTCTACAATTGAAACGAAATACAGAATCACCTCTTTTGCCTTGAGACATAGGAAGCGGAGCACTTTTTTACTTTTCCTGATAAATTGATTCATCTGATATGCTTCAAAACTTAATCTACAGTTGAAAAATTTAATTCTGTAACGTTTTTGAAAAGATTCTGCTGGTGTTCAGGAATAGTTTTGTTGAGAAAAATGGAAAATTAGAAAAGTGCCTTAGTGGTTATGCGGATTTCTTGTGTGTGAATAGTTACGGAGCAAATCAGTTAAGATTTGTGGAAAATCGTACAATAAGGCATTTTACGAGACAGATCGAGTCAGCTGATTTTATTCTGTTACTAATTTTGACATTTACTGGCGGGCCGAATATCTTCATTCGCAACTACACGGCCATCAAAAGTGACTTACGGAGCGTGTTTAGCTTGCTTACTTTTGGGTAAATCCGTGGCAAGCCCATACACTCGTGAGTTACTTTTGTTGGCCGTGCAGAGAATCAAAACAA